AAAAAAAAAGGGTGGTTATCAGCCGAAAGAAGGGGGGCTGAACACCTTTCGCAGAGAACACCTTTCTGCGTAGGCGGCCTTCGGCCGCACTTAGGGATTATAACCCTCAGGCAGTAGAATTCTCCTTTCTGTGTTGCCAAAGAAGGGGGGCTGAACACCTTTTGCAGAGAACGCCTTTCTGCGTAGGCGGCCTTCGGCCGCACTTAGGGATTATAACCCTCAGGCAGTAGAATTCTCCTTTCTGTGTTGCCAAGGAAGTGGGGCTGAACACCTTTTGCAGAGAACACCTTTCTGCGTAGGCGGCCTTCGGCCGCACTTAGGGATAATAACCCTCAGGCAGTAGAATTCTCCTTTCTATGTTGCCAAAGAAGGGGGGCGGAACACCTTTCTGCCTAGGCGGCCTTCGGCCGCACTTCGCTCCGGCTACTGCAGCAGGTTAAACTCCTACCTGAGTAGATTGAATGAGGATGTTCCAAATGAGTGTCCGGCATGCGGAGAGACCCCACATGACTCGAAACTTCTCTTCGCATGCCCGGAAAACCCGACAACCCTAACGGCCTTGTCCCTGTGGACCAACCACGCAGAAGCTGCACGCTTCCTAGGGCTGCCGTTAGTGGAACTTGACGACAACGACTGAGATACCAACCGACCTGGGCGCGGTTGTTGTAGCCGCTACAACAACAACAACAAATTTATAACAAAAATTGGTAATTCTCTTGTGTAGGATAACAACCGCTAAAAAGGGTCGGGAGGGGTACCAAACGACGCGTTGCGGTCCCGCTATTAACATTCCGGGGGGGAAGGCTAATATTATTAACCATTTAAAAGTTATGAACACAAAACTTTTGTTAAATTTCGTTGTTTTCTATGGGCAATTACACCGACAAAGATTCACTAAATCACCTGTTCTCACTTTTTAAACTCTATTAAAATATATAATTTAACTTCTTTATTAAACAAACACATAGTCTTATCGACCTAAGATAGATTATTTTGTTATTAAAAGAAGTTGACAATATTTGCGAACTGAAACGCGAGATTCCATAATAGCCATTCCCACGACAGCCGGTTCTACGTACCGGAATGACTCGGGTTTCACCCGACCAAGGGCTGTTGTTTCGGCGATCTAACCCCGTCTAGATCGGCGATACCCATTAATCATTATCCGTCCATGGAGCAATACCTTGCAGCCGGATTGCTCCGCATCCTTCTTCTCCGGGCGGGCGTAGAGCCCAACCCCGGACCAGAAATTTACTTCTGCTGTGTTTGCCAGAATCGACTCCACCCGAACTCCACTTCGGTTAGGTGCAACTCCTGCAACGGGTGGAGTCAGCTAAGAACCTGCTCTGGCCTTAGGTCTCACCGGGAGTGGACCACAAACTTTGTGGCTCCCTGTTGCTCAAGCCAAATGGCACAATCAGCCTCCACGGCTACCCACTCGCGTAATGCACGGGTGCGACCTAGCACCCGAAGAGCCTGCACGGCCCCTAGAAGCTCCCCTGAGCAACAGCAAACCTCCCAACACACCCCTCCCACACAACTTACCGGCCGGTCCCACTCGCGAGCGCGAGCCAACCAGCAGCTACTGGTTGCCCACACCATCTGCTCCGTGTGCCAGAACAGAATATACCGGAATGTGACATCTGTCAAATGCAACACATGCCTTGGCTGGTGCCACTTCCGGCTATGTTCTGGTCTACGCACCACTCGCGAATGGACTACAAACTACAGCGCCCCTTGCTGTAGTGCACCGCCGACGCAGACAACAACGCCCATATCGCAGCCACCTACCATCAGGCTGCAACAGCAACTGCGTCAGGCGCAACAGGCCCAAGGTAGGCCCCACACTTCTCTGACCCCCCCGTATCGCGACCAGCCTCCCAAGGCACATGAACGTACTCCAACTCAACTGCAACGGACTCCAGAGCAAGATTGAGGAGATAGCAGTCTTCATGGGTCGGCACGGCATATTCATAGCTGCGGTCCAAGAAACGAAGTTGCACAGCAACTCAACTCTGTTGGGTTGCGCCGCCTACAATGTGCTCCGTAAAGATCGCGAGCGAGATAATGGTGGAGGACTAGCGTTCATTCTACACCACACAGTGCAGTATCGGCTAATCGAAGAAGACATCGACCCAAGGGACACTACCCTAGAATGTCAGGGCATAGCTGTCCGGTCAGGCGATGTCGAGCTCGAAATATTTAACGTGTACATACCCCCTGTCACCTGCTGCCCGGCTGGATATCTCCCTGACATAGGTGCGCTACTCAGAGGCGAAAACCGATTGGTAGTAGGTGACTTCAATGCGCACCACGATCTTTGGCACTCAAGCCTGGCCAATGATCGGAGGGGAAACAGTTTGGCTGAGCAGATAGACGATTCGACATTCTGCACCATGAACGACGACGCCCCCACCAGGATTGTGGGCAGCTGCAGCAGCTCGCCAGACCTAACAATTGCTAGCGCTGGTCTGATAAATAGCATATCATGGCGACCTATGCTAACGTTAGCATCAGACCATCTGCCCATAATCATCTCGATCAATAAGCCCACCGACTTTGCTCCCGCGGATCACCGAACCTACACCAACTTCAACAAAGCTGATTGGAACGGCTTCGCGGAAGTTACCGAGAGCAGCTTCGCCGCCCTCCCCACACCCACAGACGTACATGCTGGAGAACGCCAGTTCCGCAAGGTAGTCACAGCCGCAGCTCGCTTCATACCGTCCGGACGCATCGCGGAAGTCCGCCCAAATTTCCCAGCTGAAGCAGCTGTACTAGCAAATGAGCGTGACCACCTACGCCAGGTCGACCCCGGGGACCCTCGCTTGAGGGAACTTAATTTGGAGATTCGGCAACTGGTAAATCAACACAAGCGGACAAAGTGGGAAGAGCACTTGAAGGCCTGTAACTTCACCTCTGGTGTGAGTAAGCTCTGGTCAACCGTGAGGTCCCTGTCCAACCCGACGAAGCGTGATGACAGAGTGGAAATCTCATTCGAAGGTCACGCCTCATCGGACCCGAAGAAATGCGCGAACTATTTCAGTCGGCAATTCACACTGCATCCTTCGGTAGACAAGGCCAAACGTCGAGTGACCAGGAGGCTGCACAAACTGCCCAAAAACGATGCACCACTTGTTTTCACCAGCGGTGAAGTGAAGGGGGCCATCGGGAAGGCGAAAGCCTCCAAAGCCATTGGACCCGACGGAATCTGTATGCTGATGTTGAAACATTTAGGGCCTGTGGGGGTAGCATACCTCACGGAGGTCCTCAATTTGTCTATGACCACTCTCATCATTCCTGATGTGTGGAAATCAGGGAGAGTGGTCCCACTGCTGAAACCGGGGAAGCCCGCCAACAGAGGAGACTCTTATCGCCCGATAACGCTCCTTTCCCCGGTCGCGAAGACACTTGAGGCCCTGCTGCTCCCATACTTCACCTGCCACCTAACCCCAGCGAAACATCAGCATGGCTTCCGTAAAGTGCACAGCACAACAACAGCACTTAACGCCGTAAACACCCAGATAACCCGCGGCCTAAATCGAAACCGCCCCTGTGAGAGAACTGTCCTAGTAGCGCTGGACTTGTCAAAGGCATTTGACACCGTCTGCCATTCCACGCTGCTAGAAGACATTGAGGCCTCCTCTCTCCCACAGGGACTGAAGCGATGGTCGGCGAATTATATGAGTGGTCGGCAATCATCAGTAATCTTCAGAGATCAAACCTCGAAACCTAGACGAATAAAACAAGGGGTTCCACAAGGTGGTGTTCTCTCCCCCTTACTTTTTAACTTCTATATCTCGAAACTCCCCCAGCCACCTGAAGGAGTTTCCCTGATCTCGTACGCTGATTTTGGAAACGTTGCTGGCAACATACAAGGCAATTGGCCGGCCGGTTCTAAATTATGCTGCGCCAGTTTGGACGCTGGGGACTAGTTGGACGCAGTGGACGAAGCTACAGACTTGTCAGAACGCCGCACTCCGGACAGCGACTGGGTGCCTTCTGATGACGCCTGAGCATCACCTACACAGTGAGGCCCAAGTGCTCCCCGTAAGGGAACACAACAAGATGCTCTGTAAGCAGTTTCTTGTGGGGTGTCACAGAAGTGAACACCCCAACAGACCACTGCTGGAGGAGGAGCCTCCGCCCAGGCACGTCAGGGGGCACCTATTCATGTACAAGGACGCAGTCCAGACCTACACAGACCAACCACTGGACCCAATGACGTACACAGACGAGCGATTAACGACATTCATAGGGAGTCTGTCTCCACCTACCTCGACTCCCGGCCTAGGAATGTCGTTATCGGAGCCCAATCACCACCTGTGGAAGAGACGGAGCTTTAGTTACCTAGAGAGACCCGCGTTACCCTGGCTCAGTTACGGTCTGGATATTGTAGCCGCCTAACAGCTACCCAAAACACCCCCCAATAGAAAGGAGACAGTCGCCGCTTTCTAAAAAGGGGAACCCCTCCCTTGGACTCCTCCCACAGGCACCTAGGGAACCGTTTGAAAAAGGGGGAAAAACGGATTTTTCTTAGGCAAACTGAGCAGTATGAAGTGGAATATGACCCAACTAACAGAAACCGTGGGATTTTTTAATAAAAGAAATTATGCCAAATTAGATATGGGGGGATTTTGAATAAAGAATAAAAAGTTAATTAAAAATAGAAAAAAAAAAGTTTTTATAAAAAAAAATGTTCTTTTTAACAAATGTATTTTTGCGTAGAATTCCTTTCTACGTAAGCGGCCTTCGGCCGCACTTAGGGATTATAACCCTCAGGCAGTAGAATTCTCCTTTCTGTGTTGCCAAAGAAGGGGGGGCTGAACACCTTTTGCAGAGAACACCTTTCTGCGTAGGCGGCCTTCGGCCGCACTTAGGGATTATAACCCTCAGGCAGTAGAATTCTCCTTTCTGTTTTGCGAAGAAAAGGAGCTGAACACCTTTTGCAGAGAACACCTTTGTATATTTTTAATGCTTACTGGGTTATATCCTATCTTCTTTTGTCTCTCATTCTTTTGCATATTTTGGAGTTTGACAGCTGAACTCCGCCATTTAATTTGCATATGCAACCAAAGTCAGACGCGTGATTTTGAAGGTGTTTTTATTTAATGAATTGTGATGAATTGGTTAATATTAAAGTCGTAAAGCAAGTTATAACAAATCAAGTAAAGTGTAAAGTGAAGGGGAATACAAAAATATATTGGTAAAGTGGCTAATTTAAGCAGAATAGGAGTGATAAATGTACGCTAATTTCCGAATTTTACAAAAAAGGGCATATTTCAAACCCAATTTGTAAATAAATTAGTAACCAAAATTTACAAAAGTGAGTGTTAAAATATTGCGTGGACCCTTGACTACAAGTGTGTGAAATTTTTTTTTGGATCGGGCCACCCATTTGGACGGAATAGCCCGAAATAGTTGTGAGCGGTACTAAACCCCACCCCTTTTCGGTATCTTCTTTCGTTTAATATATATATAAATAATGAAAATTTGTTATAAAAAATCAAGCGATTTTTTATTAAAAATTTTGGGTAGGCTTTAGATTGCTAACCCCGGAGTTCAGCATTAAGGAAAATATGGGAGGTAGATGGGGGT